CCCTCTTCAGTTACTTGCTATGCATCTAAACATTAAACAGTGGTTAAAGATGTCAGAAGAAGAATTGATGTCTTTGAGTTGTGGTATTAGAAAAGGGTATTGTGAATATCCCATGTACTACCAAGAGAACAAATAGTTCTGTCCTACAGAAAGTGAAATCAGTGTTCCTTGGAGGCAAAGGTAGTGAAGCTGTCTGACATACTACAGGTATGTTGTGAGGGGCCAGTCCTTAGAGAAGTCCATCATACTTGAAAAAGTAGAGGATTAGAGGAGGAGTAATAAAGACTCTCAAGGAGATGGATTTGGTTTATAACTCAAAATCAAGAAAACAGAAATCCTCACCATTGGATCAGGCAGGAGGCAGCAGCATGATAGTTGGCGAAGAAATAGAAGTTGCAATCTCTTTTGTATTACTTGCATTCTCAGTCAACACCCATGATAGCAGCAATCAAATAATAAAAAAACTTGTTACGTTGGGAAAATTTACTCTCAAGAATCTCTTCAAAGTGCTAAAGAGCAATGATGTCAGTTTAATGACCAAGGTGTGTCTGATTAAATCTGGTGTTTTGTTTTGTTTTAATTTTATTTTATTACTTTGTGTGGGTGTACCATCGAATCAGTTCTGACTGGTACAGGAGGAGGTTGTCCCTCCTTTTCCAGCAGAGCATCTGGTGGATTTGAACTGTGTGCCTCTGGGATTGCAGTGTAGCTTCTTGCCACTAGGCCACCAGAGCTCCCTATCAGTCTGTATTCTCTTCAATTGTTTGCTATTTATTTGAAGTTTATTGGTGAATAAGCATGACGGAAGAGGAATTGTTGCCTTTGAATTGTGGTTTTGGAGAAAACTACATAATATCCCATATACTACCAAAGAACAGACAAACCTGTCTTGGAGAAAGTATACCAGCATTGCCAAAAAAATCTGGAGGACAACTATCTGGCCCACCGATTGGAAGAGATCCGTATTTATTTCCATTCCAAGAAAAGGTGATCCAATAGAGTGGAAATTATCTAACAGTATCACAGGCAAGAAAAATCCTGCTAAAGATTATCCAAAAACGACTGAAACAGTACACTGACAGAGAACAACCAGAAATACAAACTGTGTTTAGAAGAGGTAGTGACACTAGAGACCTTATCACCAATGTCAGATGAGTTGCGGCAGAAAGCAAAGAGTATCAGAGAAATGTTGACTATGCAAGTGACTATGCAAAGCCCTTTGAATCCAGATAGTCAAATGGCTGCATAGTCATTTGCATAGTCAAAGTGAGGAGAAAGGGAATCCCAGACTCCTTGTTTGTGTTCATGTGAAACCTCTACTCAGACTAAATATCAGTCTTCAGAACAGAGTAAGGAAACACTGAGTGGTTCAAAATAATGAAGGGGAGTGCATTAGGAATGCATCCTCTCTCCATACCTTTTCAGTCTATGTGCAGAAGAGATCATTCAGGAAGCAGGGTTTTATGAGGAGGAATGTGCCTTCAGGATTGGAGGAAAATGCATCAACAACCTGTTGTTGAAACTGAGGAAGACCTGAAGCACTTGGCTGCAGAAGGTCAAAGACCATAGTCTTTAACATGGATTGAAGTTCAACATCAAGAAGACAAAAGATTCTTACCATTGAGACAATTGACAGCACCACGAAAGATGGAGAAGAGATTGAGCTTGTTAACAGTTAACAGCTTTCTTGGCTCTACAGTCCAACTCTCTTGGCACCAGCAGTCAGGAAAAGATAAATTGCAATGGGAAATTCTACTATCAGGGGCCTCTGCAGGTACTGAGAAACAACAATATCAGTTTAGAGACCAAGGTTCCTGATCCAGGCCTTGATCTTCCCAGTTACTTGCTGTGCTTCAGTGAGCTTGAACATGAATAAAGCTTACAGAAGAAGAATTGATACCTCTGAGTTGTGGTGCTGGAGAAGAGTCTTGAACATACTTTGAACCTCCAAGAAAACAAATAGGTCTGTCTTGAAAAGGATGAAACCAAGTTTCTGACTAGGATTTTGAATCTCCATCTCACATACTTTGGGTATGTGATCAGGATGGACTGGTCCTTGGAGAAGAACATCACATTTGGAAGGGTAGAGGGATAGCGCAGGGAAGGAAGACCTCAGATGAGATGGACTGACAAAGTAACTGGAGCACTGGGGGTAGGTGTGTCAGACTGAGACTGGCTCAGAACAGAGCAGGCTTCAGAGCTGTTGTACATTGGGTCGCTATGAATAATACATGATTTAATGGCACATAACAGTAACAACAACAGGAAGCCAGTTATTTTAGAGCACATTTACCAAAAAGACTAGGAAAAAATTTAAAAGATCTATCTATTGAGAATAATAATAATTTATAATAATGTTTTAAGACATCCTTATTGATTGAATTTTCTTGAACTCTTTAAATTCTATCTATGGACTCCAGGTTAACTTACTTTTAGATTGAGGTTAGAAACATGGAGACCAGTTTGGAAGCCAGTTCATACAGAATTTGATTACCTTAGTAGTAGTGGTTATGTGCCATCAAGTTGGAACCAACTCAGCGGACTCTCTAGTGAATTTTCAGAGGCAGTCCACTTGGGAGGAGATTGCCCAGCCTTCTCATGTATTTAAACCACATGCCTTAGGGTTGGCAACATATTTCCTTAGCACTAAGCCAGCAAAGCTCCCTTAACTTTGTGAAGGCTCTAGTAAATGATCAATGAAAAATGATTTATTATTTTTATATAAAGAAATGTGTGTCATAGAAAAATTATGAAATCTTTTTAAAAATTATGCACTAAATTTTTCTAAATTTCTTTAATATATAACAATCCTTTGTGGGGAATTTTTTGTTATTTTGGTGTTTTTATTTGAATGAAGTTTGTAAAGAAATTAGGGTTTCATTCACTTATTTATCTCTCCTTTCCTCCTCCTTCACTCCCTTATGCATGTCCTGTACAAGCTTTTTAGTTTCATTGCTTATAATGTCTATTCTTTTCATAATTACCTTCCCATCACCTGTTCCAATGCATCATTGTTTATCTGTCAGTTCTCTTGCTGTTATTCCTGCCTTCGACACCCCACATCCTCTTGATTTTATAACAGTGGTCTCACTACTTTTGTCCCTTTATGATGGAGTTAATTCTCTCAGTATAATGTCCTCTAGACTCATCCGTGTTGCATTGTTTTTCAGTGCTTCATAATTTTCCATTGTGTGGATGTATCAGTTTCTCTAACCATTTGTTTGTTAATAGATACTTGAGTTGCTTCCATCTTTTTTTGCTGTTATTAAGAGTACCACAGTAACATGAGTGTCTTTGCACATCTCTTTGTGTCTTTGTGTTTTCTTTGGGGTAGATTCCTAATAGTAGGATATATGGGTCAAATGATATTTCTTCTTTTCAGATTTCTGAGGAAGTGTCATACTGTCTTCCATTTTACACTTCTACCAGCACTTCACGAGGGTTTCGATATCTCCACGTCCTTGCCAGCATTTATTATTTGTTGTTCTGTTGAACTTTGCCACGTGCAAAGGATGAGATGATATCTCACTGTTCCCTCTATTTGCGTAGTTCTAATACCTGAACCAGGAAACTGTTGTGCTTACAGAGCAGGGGAGCACTGCATGGTTTGGAATTGAGAAAGGAGTGCAGTAGGGTTGTGTTCTCTCTCCACACCTGTCCAGTCTGTATGCTGAGCAAATTATCCAAGAAACTGGACTCTATGAGGAGGAGTGTGGCATCACGATTGGAGGGAGACAAATCAATAATTGCATTATGCAAATGACACAACCTTACTTGCTTAAAGTGAGGAGGACTTGAAGCGTTTGTTGCAGAAGAACAAGGCTTGCAGCCTTCTGTATGGATTGCATCTCAATGTCAGGAAAACAAAGATTCTTACCACTGGACCAATAGGCAGTGTCATGATTGGTGGAGAGGAGATTGAAACTGTTAACAGCTCCATCTTGCTTGGATCCACAGTCAGGAAATAAGGAGACACATTGCACTGGGAAAATCTTCAGTTAGGGACCTTGCCAAATTAGTGAGGAATAGTGAAGACTAATAGGGTCTATCTAATTCAGGCCATAGTCTTTCTGATTACTAGCTATGCATGAAAGAGCTGGACAGTGAATAAGGATGACAGATGAAAAAATGATACCTTGTGCTATGGTGTTGTAGAAGAGCACTGAACATCCCATGGATGGCCAAGAGAATGAACAGATATGTCTTGGAGAAGGGCAGCTGGAGTGCTCTTTGGAGGCAAAAATGACAAGCCTTCACCTCACATAATTTGGACGTGTTGCTAAGAGAGGGGATATTCCTTGGAGAAGGACATGATGCTGGGAAGTGTAGAGGGTTGCTGAAAGAGAGGAAGACCCTCAACCAGGTAGATTGAGATAGTTACTGCTGCAGTGGGCTCTTGTGTGTCAGAAGTCTGAGGATGGCACAGGATAAAACAGGGTTCAGATCTTTTGTTCTTAGGGTCTCTATGAGCTGTGCTAACTCAGTGGCACCTAACAACAGCAGCAACATCTAGCTAGCAATCTTCATGTGGTTGTTGGCCGACTGAATCTCCTCTTTGGTAAAGAGTCTCTGTGGTTGTTTCTAGCTAGCAATCTTCATGTGGTTGTTGGCCAACTGAATCTCCTCTTTGGTAAAGAGTCTCTGTGGTTGTTGGCCATCTGAATATCCTCTTAAAGTGTCTCTTTATGTCTTCTGTCCATTTGGCATTTGGTTTGTTTGCTTTCTTTATTGAGGCGCCCTTTTGGATATGTCTTTATCAATTTTCTTTCACCGATTCTGTGGCTTTGCTTTTTATACCCTGTTAAGTCTTTTGAGGCACACAAGACTTGATTTTCAGAAGACCCCATTAATCTATTTTGTCCTCTCCTGGTTGTAAATTCTTGGTTCTGGTTAGTTTTAATTGTTGCTCCCATGTGGGAGCTCCCCCCATTGACAGTGCACTTAGTTTTTCACTTCAGTGATAATGCCTTTGCTTACTTGTTTTCCTTTTTATTTTGCAGGTTTTTGATTGGTCAGGGTGCAAATGTAGGTGCTGTTAACAGCGAAGGAGATACACCTTTAGATACTGCTGAGGAAGAGGCAATGGAAGAGCTCCTTCAGAATGAAGTTAACCGGCAAGGTAATTTAAAAGCAACCTAAATGGAAAAATGTTAAAACTATTTAGAAGAGAATATAGTAGATGCATTTGTTGGCATTGAGTATTCCTCATACTGTAAGTGAAAAATAATAGTGTACTAAACAATTTTCATATATTTCTGTTTAAGCAAGTATTTGATTTTCAACTATATAACTTTTTTATATTTGTGAAGTTCAACAAAATAGCAGGAGCAGAGCATTAAGACCAGGCATAGCATTATTAATAGGAGCTTTTGATGGTAATAAAATAGACAAATAGGAAGGGCCTAGGGTAGATGTGGAGCTTTAGAAATTTAAACAGACCATAAGTGAAGTCTTCCCTGATGAGTGGCATATAAATTGAATTCTATATGAGTTAAGGAATTAGCCTTGCAGATCTGGGAAAGAAAAAATATTCTATTAGAAAAAAATATTCTATTAGAGTGAGGAACTTATGCAAGAATGAAAGGGTGCCTGGTATATTCATAGGAACAGTAAACAAACAAGTATCACTGCAGCAGTCAGAGCAGAAACACCAAGATCTCACACCGTATAAGGCCTTGTGGTTATGGCTCATTGGAAAGACTTTGGCTTTTATTTTGAATTAGTTAGGAATATTTGTTTTCTTTTATTTTGAATGAATTATGGATATAGGCAAAGAAATGGGTTATCTCATTTATCCTTTAGGAAAGATTCCTCAGACCACACTGTGTTGAGACTAGCACATAGGAGAGTAAGGTATAATAGAAGAATAGTTCAGAGACACCATATTCCAGGCAAGCAAGATATGGTGGCTTGGATATGGGTTGTAGCAGATTAGGTGGTGGAAGATGTTGAATTTTCCATATATTTTGAAGATCTGGCTAAAATATTGTTGAGCACGTGCATACAGAATGTGCAAGAAAGGAAAAGCAAGGAAGATTCTAAGATATTTGGTGAGCAACTGGGTAATAGAATTCCTATTTTTTGAGATAAGGAAAATAATGAAAGGAGTAGGTTTTTTAGAAAAAAGGTTAAGAGTTTGTTTTTAGATGTGTTAAATTGGTTTTGCCTACTGTACATCCAAATAGATGTCAGTGACTGGTTAAATATGAGTCTGGATAAAGGTTTAGGTTAAAGATGTAAATGGAAGACGGACCTTTTGGAAGATGTCATTTAATAAATGTTGTTTTGTAAAACCTGAGACTGCATAAATTAAGTATAGACATAGAGGATTACTAAGGGCTCTACTTTGAGTTGCTCCAGAAAGAAAAAGTTAGAGAGGCAAAAAATTGGCAAAGAAAACTTAGAAGGACTATCTGGTAAAGTAGGAAGCAATTATAGTGTGTAGTGTCCTCAAAGCAGGAAGCAGTGGTATCCTAGTGGCCAGATGCTGTGCTACAATCCTGAGGTGACACAGTTTGAATCCACCAGCTTCTTCTCAGGAGAAGAATGGGCAATCACCTCCCTTGCAATTAACTGCCTCTGAAAACCTGCTGGAGGGTCAGCTATGGGTCAGTTCTGACTTGCCTGTACACACCAACAACAGTGTCCTTAAGGTTAAATTAAGTAGAGCCACATCAAGCAATACAGCATTATTTTTCACTTTGGTGTTTTAAAAGAATTGTGCTGCAGATGCAGAGATATGCAGTTTGAATCTACAAGCTGCTCCAGAAGAGAAAGACAGGCAGTCTCCCTCTATGTAGTTTACATCCTCTTAAAACCTGCTGGAAGGTCAGCTATAGGTTGGTCTGCCTTGATACACACCAACAACAAATTATGTGTGTACAGTACTGATCTAAGTACTTTGTGTTTTAATCATGACAAAATTTTTTGTGTTATTAACAATTTTAATGAATGAAAAAATCAAACCAAATAGAAATTTAGACATTTACCACCATGACCGGTTAATGATAGGGTCATCATGATAATTGAGCTTTTCTACATCTTGGTGCATCCATGTAATCAGTCTAATTCCTGTTTAATCTGTGGAGTTAAATCCTTGTGTACAGTCACCATTTGTGGGGGGTTTTTAGAAAGATTTTTGCAACAGATAAATCATTGATTATACAAAATTCTGTTATGCTATCTCCAGCCATATTTCTGTCACCAAGACTATATTTTCCAACTTCTTCTAAGTCCCTATACTTTGTTGCCAACTTTTGAGTTTTAGTCACCCTTTATTATTAATGCATCTTGACTGTATGCCATTATATACCAATGAAGGAATTTTTCTTTTACTTTTCTTCTTTACTTTTTTCTTTTACTTTTCAAAGAGAACAGTGAACTAGGGGGAGGGGTAGGCAGGGGAAAAATGCAACAATGAATGAACGGAAATCCAAAATCTCTATAAATGTTCATTAAACTCAATAGCATCAGTCAGAACAAGACCAGGGATCAAAGGGAGATCTGTTCAGATCACCAGTTATTCATATATAAGATAAAGTTTAAACCAAAGAAGACTAAGTCTATGAGAGCCAAATGCTTCCTTGAGTCTATCCCACTTGAATTTAGATACTATCTCTAAAATATATTTTATATTTTTATATTTTAAAAAATGTATTATAAAATATAATAAAACACTGACCAGTAATGAATGACCAAAGAGTAAATGTTCAGGGGATGTCTTACATGAAAAAAGAAAAAGATCATTAAAAAGATAGGAAAGAACAAAAAGAGCAAACTGGATGTCAGAACAGGCTTAAAAAGTTGTTTTATAATATATGGAAACCAAAGCAAAAAGAAATCATTATGAGTTAAGATTTCAGAAGGCAACTTGAAAGATAAAGCAAAGTATTCTGATAAAAAATCAAAAGAAAATTATTATTAGTATTTCTCAGGCTGGAAGAACTGAAGAAATAATCACTCCTGGCATTGCAATAGTGAAGGTATGAGTAGACGAAATATTGAATGGTACTGAAAACATCTAAATAAGATGGAACAAGTCTCTCTTCCAGCTAAATAAGATGGAACTGTCTCTCTACAGTAAAGAATTAGTTGAAACTCAACCATTTCGTGGTGTCTTAGGTGCCGTCAAATTGAGTACTACTCAGAGCGACCCTATGAACAACACATCTGAACCCTGCCCTATCCTGTATCATCTTCACTTTTCCTAACATACTAGAGTGCATTGTGGCAGTACTGTGGCAGTCCACCTAGTTGAAGCTCTTCCTCTCCTTTGCTGACCCTCCACCCTTCCCAGCATCATGTCGCTCTCCAAGGCATAGTCCCTCCTAGCAACATGCCCAAAGTTTCTGAGGTGAAGCCCTATCATTCTTACCTCCAAAGAGCACTCCGGCTGCAACTTCTCCCAGACATATTTGTTACCTCTTGTCATTCCATGGGATGTTCAGTGCTCTTCTCCAATACTTCAGCTCAAAGACAACAGCTCTTCTGTCATCTTTGTACTTTGTCCAGCTCTCAGATGCCTAGCAAGTGATCAAAAGACTGAATCAAATGCGTCTTCAAACTGATATCATTATTCCTCAATAATTTGGAGAAGTCCCTAACTACAGACTTTCCCAGTGCAGTATGTCTCCTAATTTCTGACCTCTGGTACCAAGAATGTTAAATGTGCAGCCAAGTAAGGTGATGATGTTGATATTTTCAGTCTTTTCTACATTTATCATGATGTTGCCTGCTGGTCCAGAATTTGTATTTTCTTGACATTGAGCTACAGTACATACTGGAGGCTGTATTTCTTCATCTTCTGAAACAAGTGCTTCAAGTCCTCCTCATTTTCAGCAAGCAAGGTTGTGTCATCTGCATAACACAGGATATTGATGAGTTTACCTCTCCTGATGCCTCATTCCGCCTCATAGAGTTCAGCTTCTCAGATGATTTGCTCAGTGTGGCCTAGTGGCACAAAGCTGTGCTGCAATGCCAAAGACACAGTTAGATTTCACCAGCTGCTCTGTGGGAGAAGGATGGACGATCTCCTCCCGAGCAATTAACTGCCTCTGAAAACCTGCTGGAGGGTCAGCGATGGGTCAGTTCCAACTCGACAGTACACAACAAGAACACGGATAGAATAAGTATGCAGAGAGACGACTAACCCTGATACACTCCGTTCTTAATTTTAAACCACCATGGTTGCCTGCTCTTTCTCACAACGGTCTCCTGGCCCAGGTACAGGTTCTGCATGAGCACACTTAAGTGCTCTGGGACTCCCATCCTTCTCAATGCAGCCACAATTTGTTACGATCCACACAGTCAAATGCCTTTGTATAGTCAATAAAGCACAAATAGACATTCCTCTGATATTTCTTACTTTCAGCCAGGGTCCATCTGACATCAGCAGTGATATTCCTGGTCCCACGACCCCTCCTAAGTCCCCCTTGAACTTCTAGAAGCTCCCTATCTGTGTACTGTTCTAGTTCTTTTTGAAGGATCTTCACCAGTATTTTGCTTGCATGTGATATTAATGATACTGTTCAATAGTTTCCACATTCTGTTGTATCACTTCTTGGAAATAGGAACGTATATGGACCTCTTCCAATCCATTGACCAGACATCTGTCCTCCAAATTTCCTGGTATAGAGTAGCATTTAATAAAGAACCAGTGTATTGTAAAAAGAGATTTGAATTTGTACTGAAGGCTTTTTTTAAAATTTATTTTTAATTAATAGCTAGGCTCTAGGAATTGATAAGGGAGCTCTGATGGCTGAGTGGTCAAGCATTAACACTGTCAACTCAAAGGAACACAGTTGGAATCCACTAGCTGCTCCAAGGAGGAAAGATGGGTAGTCTCCTTTTGAAAATATAGAGGTTCAGCTGTGAATCAGATATGACACCCATGTAACAACAAGGAGTGGAGTGGGTGGAGTACCAGTTGAAATGTTTGAACAAATAAGTGCATCGTTAGGTGCTGATTTGTTGTCTTTTTCAAGGAGTTGGAAAGGCAGCAGCTATGTGACCTACCAGCTAGGAGAGAGCTATATTTGCACTCATTTCAAAGAATGCTGAAATTTCCAAAAGTTATCATTATCTTACATAGATAAAGTCTTGCTAAAGATAATTTTTAAA